TGCGCCAAAGCCGCTTGTCCCAGAAGAGTCCTGCATCACTCAAGACCTGGCCTGCCTCCGTGTCGCGCCCTGCTCAGGCACCGGCGGGGAGCGGCCTGTGGGCAGCACGGCCTCCCCGCTGCGAGGGGCTGGACCCCACGGTCCCGCAGCCGGGCGCTTGCTCAGTCACTGTTACCTGTCGCTCCCGGAGGTGCATTTTCACGCCCTTCCCCTGCGATTTGAGGGATCCGGGGTCTTTCCATCTCGTGGTTCCACCACAGCCAAGCCGTTGGAACTCCGCTTCCAGCGGACGGAGATGCAGAATTAAAAAGCACATGGCGGCCCCATGGCAGGCGCCATGCCCGGAAGTGACGCACATCGCTTCCGCCGACGTTCCGAACCGCAAAGGAGTATGGGAAATCGAGTTCAGCTGTGCGTCCCAGGCTAGCGAGATACATCCGGGTGAACACGGAGCAAACACGGGGCAGCAGCGTCCTCACCTTGGGGCGTGTCTCCCCTGATGGATTAATCCAGTGGTGATGAGCTCATTCCTGGAGATTGAGCCCGGAGCTCGTTGTTTTCCAGCTTTTAAGCAAATTTGCAAGCACTTAATTCCTGTATCAACTCCCTTTGCGCTTTAAAAGGGATCCACCCCCCACGGCAGTCCCACTTCTGTGTACACATCCAAAGAAAATTGAAAGCAGAAGTTATTTGCACAACCATGTTGACAGCGAGATCATTCACAACAGCCAAGAAGCGACTCAAACGTCCATGGGTGGACGCATGGATAAACAAAACGGAATATATACATACAATGGAATATTATTCAGCCTTAAAAAAGGAAGGGCATTCTGTCGTATGCCACAACACGGATGAACTTTGAGGACAGTATGCTAAGTAAAATGTCAGTCACAAAAAGACAAATACTGTATGATTCTACTCGTATGAGGTACCAAGAGTTGTCACATTCCCAGAGACAGAAAGTAGAATGGTGGGTGCTGGGGCTAAGGGAGGAGGAAAGGGGAATTAGTGTTTAGTGAGTACAGTTCCAGTTTGGGAAGATGAGAAAGTTCTGGAGATGGATTGCACAACAATGTGCATGTACTTAACACTACTGAATTGTACACTTAAACATGGTTAAGATGGTAAAATTTATTTATTTTTACTGCAATTAAAACATTTAAAAAGGGGCTTGTTTTGGATACAGTGTCTCAGTCTGTCTCCTGGGCTAGGGTGCAGCGGTGTGATCATAGCTGACTGCAACCTCAAACTCCTGGGCTCAAGGGATCCTCCTTCCTCAGCCTCCCAAGTAGCTGGGACTACAGGTGTGCACCACCATGCTCAGCTAATTTTTCTATTTTTTTGTAGAGACGGGGTCTCACTCTTGCTCAGGCTGGTCTGGAACTCCTGGCCTTAAGCTATCCTCTCTCCTTGGCCTCCCAAAGTGCTAGGATTACGGGCCTGAGTCACCATGCCCAGCCTTCTTTTTTTCTCTGTAAGTTAACCCTATTGGTCCATGGAGCTTTTGGATTTGTATTTACCATGTTTCCCCCAAAATAAGACAGGGTCTTATATTTATTTTTCCCCAAGAAGACACCCTAGGGCTTGTTTTCAGGGGATGTGTTATTTTTTTTTTTAATACGGTACAACAATCTACATTTATTCAAATGCAGTTAAGTCGTCTTCTTCTGGAACATCATCATAACTCTCCAAACCCCGAATTCCATCCTGAATTTCTTGCAACTCTATTTCCTTTAGAATCATCGGCCCCAATCTCTCATGTGAAGCAATAGAGCTCTCATGGGGCAGATGAGAAGGGCTGCTCGTCTTCTTTACCACTCTGTGACGAAGTGCATGGGTTGTGCAGATGCGCTGCGTAGCCACGCCCGTCACTAGGGCTTATTTTCGGGGTGGGGCTTCTATTGTGCAAATGCTTAGAAATCCCACTAGGGCTTATTTTATGGGTAGGGCTTATTTTCGGGGAAACACGGTAGCATCTATTGCTAAATCACAAAAGCTTAGTGCTGCTTATGTGGGAAGACTCATTCCCAGAGACTAGAGGTCACAACTGTCCCCTCACCCTTGACACTTTAGCAAACATTGGCTCCATTTCCAGCTCCCAAGAGCTGCTCTCAGGATCTGCCTTTATTTGCCTGGGGCTTTCTCTTGCAGTCAGAGTCTGTTTTGCCTCATTTGTGGCAGCCAGAAGTGCTGGAGAATTAAGGTCCCCGAGAGGAGTCTTCTAATGACTGACAGAAATCACAGATCAATACCCAGCCCTCTCGCCTGCATGTGGGGTCACTGTCAGGTGCATGTTCTACCCCGGCTCCCAGATTTCCCCGGAGGGACTAAGCCCTTGTTACCCACAGAAGTAACTCACTACTTTAACGATGAATCCTTCACTGCCTGCCTTCTCCTCTGGGGCTATTTCCTAAATAGTCTACTTATCCTCAAATCCTTGTCTCCGGGTCGGCTTCTGAGGCAATTCAAATTAAGACACTCTCAAAGTACATTGCGGATCTTAAGTCTATCCAACTTGAACATGTGTGGGTGTGAAGAAAGCACAATTTGGCCAGGCATGGTGGCTCATGCCTGTAATCCTAACACTTTGGGAGGTCCAGGCAGGAGGATCGCTCGAGGCCAGGAGTTCGAGATCAGCCTGGGCAACATAGCGAGACCCCGTCTCTACAGGAAACTTAAAAAAATTTAGTCAGGCATGGTGGTGCGCACCTGTAGTCCCACCCACTCAGGAGCTGAGGCAGGAGGATGGCTTGAGCCCAGGAGTTGCATGTTATAGTGAGCTGTGATCACGCCACTGCACTCCAGCCTGGGTGACAGAGCAAGACCCTGTTTCTAAAAAAAGAAAAATCTTACAAAGAGTGGGAATTACCCCAATAAGCTTTTGTATTGAAGTCTCCTACAGAGCGTAGAATAGGATCCCAGTAGAACTGTGCATCTTAGAAATGGTTGAGTTGGTTTGTGATTTGAAACAGGGAAAGAAAACCCAAGAGGTGCCTTTGTTGTCAACCCAGAATGTCTAATGGTTCTCTTAGTATTTTGAAGCTGGTCGTGGAGGCGTTGGCAGCTCCTCACTTCCCTCCAGCACGCAACTGGATGGAAGCACAGATGCTCCTGAGCACAGAGAGCAACCACGCACCTGCTACGCGCCCACTCACACCGTCCTGGGAGAATTTCATCTTCTGACCCCACTTTGGAAACCACCAGGCTGGCAATATCTGCAAGAGGCTGAAGGATTTCTTTGCCAGACACGACTTCGACTGAAAGGAAACTGCCAGTCTTCCAGCTCAGGAGCGCCTGCAGTACCTGCCACCCCCCCACCCCCCTGGCGTGGCTGCAGTGGGGGAGGACAGAGTGCCACCTGCCCTGCTGAGTCACAGCCTCTCTGTGGGCCCACGCCACCGTCTTTGCTGTGGCTCGCTGACGGGCATTGCACTGCAGCTACGCCAACCGCTGGCTTCTGCAGAGCCCGGGTCTTGAGCCACTCACTGCCCGTTGGGGAGGATTGGTGAAGAAATAGAAGCACAAAACGGACGATTCTCTATTGCACAGAAGTTGGCTGACTTTCGAGGCCAAGTGCTTTTAAGACTAATGCTCGATCAGGCTGCGGGCACAAGTTTCTCAGCTTTTCGCTCATTCTCAAGAGCAGTTGGACAGGGCCCGGAAACGGGGCTCAGCAGTGCTTTGGGGCCGACTCGCCAAGGGAAATGCAAAGCCCTGCAGTCACCGTTATGGATTTTGTGAAAAACCCGGAGATTCTTTTGGTCCAATTGCCAGGCTGTGAGGCGAGATTGGAGATAACCCAGTGGAAAACTTCAACCCTAGCAGAAGACTTCTGCAGGCTGGGTGCAGAGAGAGAAATCTGCAGATGTAGGACTGAAATTTAGTTTCCCCACGATGGCAAATGTAGCAGCTATCTTTGGTTGATGAGGCAGCCTTGGCAGCTGCACCAAGACCTCGACCCCCATCTTGGCATGCTCCTTGCCCAGTTTCTTCTTGCTTACCTGCTACCTGCTCAGACTGAGACCTTCAGAGGGCTGTTCATGGGCTCTGCAGCCATCTTGCACCTGCAGAAGGCCAGAAGTGTCTGGAAGATTATCTCTCTCAACTTCCTGGGCACTAATTGCTGCTAGGTATAGGGGTCTGTTAAGGACTAAATGTTTGTGTGCCCCCCAAATTCATATGTTGAAGCCCTAACCCCCCAGTGTGACTGTATTTGGAGATAGGACATTTGGGGGGCAATTAAGGTTAGGTGAAGTATTATGAGTACCTGGGCCCTGATCCAATAGGTTTAGTGTCCTTATAAGAAGGAACACCAGAGAGTCTCTCTCCTTTCTCTCTCTGCATGCATGCACTGAGAAAAGCCATGTGAGGACTGGATTATTATTATTATTTTTTGAGACAGGGTCTCACTCTGTTGCCTGGGCTGGAGTGCAGTGGCGTCCTCATAGCTCACTGCAGCCTCAAACTCCTGGGCTCAAGCGATCCACCTGAGTAGCTGGGACTACAGGTACATGCCACCAACCCTGGCTAATTTTTCTATTTTTTGTAGAGACAGGGTCTCTCGCTCTTGCTCAGGCTGGTCTCAAATTCCTGACCTCAAGTGATCCTCCTACCTTGGCCTCCCAAAGTGCTAGAATTATAGGCATGAGCCACTGAGCCCAGCCTGGGCTATTAATGACTGAATGGGATTCTAGTAATGTGGCAATGTCATTTGAGTTGTGTATTTCTTGATGTAAGGGATCCCATGTTTGAAAACCAGGTGGTGGCCTGTGCTGTTATGATGTGTGTGTGTGTGTGTATACACATGTATATACGTGTGTGCATTCGTATACACACACACACACACACACACACACACGTTTTTGTCCATAGTTCCTGGCTCGTAACTCCCATAGTCCTTATCGCAATGTTGGGGTGCTTTAGGTCTCTGCAGCAAGCCTCGAGAGATGGCATCTCTCTCTCTGACCTTCTCCTGTCCTCCTTTTATCTACCCACTGCAGGACTCTACTCCGATTGTAGACCTTAAGACCCTCATTGCAGAGAGGGGCCCACCCAGACCCTGGAGTATGCTGCACAACAGACCAGGAAGAATCTGGACAGGCCTTGCTGGGCTTAGATTAGGCGCTTTTGTCCCATCACATTCCTACGTGGTTGTCAATCATGCCTATGTAATAAAGCCTCCATAACACCCCCAAAGGACAGGGTTTGGGGCACGTCCAGATAGCTGAACGCCCAGGGAGGGCATGGAAGCTCCACGCCCCTTCCCCTATACCTCGCCCTACACATCTCTGCATATGCATCCTTTGTAACGCCCTTTATAATAAACCAGTAAACATAAAAACCAGGCTGGCCATGCGAGGATAGAATGAGAAGGTGGCCGTCTGTAACCCAAGGGGAGAGCCCTCACCAGACACCACCCCTGCCGCCACCTTGAACTTGGCCTTCCCAGCCTCCAGAACTGGGAGAAAATAAATTTCTCTTGCCTAAGCCACCTAGTCTGTGGCATTTTGTTATAGCAGCCAGAGCTGATGACTATAGGGTCCCAAATCCCGGCTCCTTTGACTCTAGGTAGGACCAGCCCTGGGATATAATTTATGCCTCGGGACTACCTGCTGGATCAATCTGAGTTTGGGACTTCACCTGACATTACGTCCTTATTTGGCTTCTGCCATTTCTCTGTCCTGCTTTCTGCACCCCCTTACCGGTTACTCAGGGAAAGCTTCGTAATAAATCCCTTGCACCTGAATCCTTGCCTCGGGGGCTGCTTCTGGGAGAATCTGACCTAAGAAAATCAGCGATGCAGAACTTTGCCAAAGAGAACCTCAGTCCTGAGTTGAGGACACGGAAACTGTCAGGACGTGAATTCAACTTGCTGAGCTCTGGCTGGTCCTTTCATGGGCGGTTCTGATTCTCCTCGGGCATTAGTTAGACTCAGCAACGCCAGCTACTGCGACAGGCAAGTCCTGCAATCTCAGTGGCCCGACACGACGGAGGTTTGGTTTTCACTCACGTGCAGTTCCAGGGAGGTTGGGCAGCCCCTCTTCAACCATCCAGAACATGTGGCTTCCAAGGTCGGTGGGCAGGGGGAAGAGGGAGGGAGGAGGAATGCCAGTTCTTAACTGTCTAAGTCTGGAAATGGCGGGCATGACTTACGCTCACAGCCCATTGGCCAGAACTAATCACATGACCCTAACCAAATCACAAGGGTCACTGGGAGATGTAGGGCACACATGGGATATTTGAGGAGCTGCGGTTTGTCCTTGCAGTGGTGTTGCACCTTCCACAGGGCTCAGGTTATGAAGGCAGTGAAAAAGACAAAAATTGGATATGGCTCAAATTGGCCCTTTTTGAAATCATAATATTATGGGGGTATGAATGCTTTGGTCACATAGATTGCCTTTGCACCACCCGAGTTAAAGCTACAAGCATCCTCAACCCCCAGACAGCATGCACTGTACCCATTAGGTGTGAATTTACCCATCCCCTCCTCCCCCTCCCACCTGCCCATCAAATTACCTTTGAAAATCTCTTAGGAGGGTAACCTTAATATAAGAAATGTAGACTCTTATATTGTCCCTCATTACAGAGAAATAAAAGAAAAATGTCTTTATCCCTCATTTTCAGGCAAAAACTTAATAAATGCTTCTAAAGTTTTTGAAATTTTGCTAATTAAAGAACCCTAAAATTTGAATGTACTTTTGTGAGTTTCAGAGAGTAGGGATATTATTTGGCTTGAATGAGAAGCTGAATCAGATCCTGAAAAACGCTAACCATAAAACAAAACACTGATAAATTAGGCTTTATTAAAATTAAGAACTTTTCTTTCGCAAAGACCCCATTAAGAGAGTAAAAAAGTCAAACCAAGGACTGGGGGGAGATGTGTGCATTATATGTAGTCTCAAAGGACTAGTATTCAGAATATATAAAGAACTCCCACAAGTCAGTAGGCCAGGTGACTGAACAACAAAGTGTGCAAAAGACTCAAACGGGCACTTTGGAAAACAAAGATGAAAAAGGGACCCCCCCCCCTCCTATACTTATACGATAAGATACTCAACACCATTACTGATTAGAGAAATGCAAATTAACTATATCTCCATCACAACGGCTACTGTTAAAAGAACTGAGGATACCCCGTGGTATCCACGCAACAAAAACTTTTGCATCCCCTTAATACTTTGAAATTAAAAAAAAAAAAGTACTGACCACAAATACTCCGTATTGGGGAAGATGTGGAGCGATGGGACTCTGGCAGGCTGCTGATGGGAGTGCGAACCGGAACAACCACTTTGGAAAACCGTTTCGGGACTCGGATGAGGGACTTCTGGCCTGGATTGGCCGGGCTCAGTGCATGCCCAGCGGAGGGATGGGTTATTCTGCTCCACATCCGTTAAACCCTTTGCACTCGCTTGCTTTTTTCTCGATTCCTTTATTCTACCCGGGATTTAATTTTTTAAATACCCCAGATTTTACAAAGCACAGCAGTAGAATAAAAAACTGGGGTTTCTTTTCATGCAAACTTATTGATTTGGATTTTTAAAAAATATTTCAAATTATTGACGCATTCAAAGAGTCATTTTAATCTCCATAATTTTTGCTGACCGTGTCGAGTCACACTCGACATCCGAGTGCAAAGGGTTAATTCCTGGGCTAGACACAAAGTGGCTCATTGCCCCAGAGCATGCTTGCTCCTCTCTTCGCAGAATAATGGCGTGCAAGAGCTAAACCAAATCACGCAGGCACATTTGCGTGGGGTGGCATCTGCCAACAGCCCCTCCGCCCAGGCCCAGAGCCCACGTGGTGGGGAAACGTGCCCCACCCCCACCCCCACAGCGGGAGGGCGCTGCATAGCAGGCACAGGCAAAGAGTGCGGGTGCGTTAGGTTCCTCTGCGTGGATTCTCCTGGCCCCCCGGTTCCCAGGGTCGAGAATGGGTACTGGTGTCCAGTTGAGCTGAGGATGGAGTGATCCCAAACACAGAGCGACTGCATATAGGTGATCACATAAGAGAAAGAACGAAAGTGCAGAAGGAAGCTGCACGAAGGGAAGGCAGGTTCCAGGGAGAGTGGGCGCGGACGCTGGGGGCTGAGCACCTGCTGCCTTTTATAGTACCACTAGTTTGTCCCGCCTTTGCCCTGGCACGATTGGACGCCGTTTCCCGCTTTTAGGGGTGATTGACAGGTTGGTGTTAACAGTAACGGATCACACGACAGGTTACATAACAGGGTAGGTTATATAAAAGTTTCCCTTTCTGCACATGCATCTTTTCTAGAATTCTCCATGAGGCTCCACCCATGTTATGCTAATTAGTTGGTAATTAGCTCCAGGTCAGTGAAAGGTTACTGGTTAACCGCTTTACTACGTATGTTCCCACCAGGGAACAGTTCCTAGCTGCAATTTGGTTCCTAGCTACAACTTGGATCCCACTCTCCGCTCTTAGCCACTCCCTTGCTTCAAGACCTAACAGTTGTAACAGGGCTGCGGAAGATGCCAGCAGTGCTCACACCCTCTCCCCACCTCTCACTCCACTGGGTGAGAACCTCCCTGTCGCCCATAACCTCACCATGAGAACTATCTATAGTAGATAGTAATGCAATAGTAGTAGCTACCTACTATAGTAGCCGTAGTAGATAGTAATGCAACACTGTCTACTGTAGCTCTCATGGTGGGGTTGTGGGAGACAGGGAGATTCTACTATAGTAGCCGTAGTAGATAGTAATGCAACACTGTCTACTGTAGCTCTCATGGTGGGGTTGTGGGAGACAGGGAGGTTCTCACCCAGTGGAGTGAGAGATGGGGAGAGAGTGTGAGCACTGCTGGCATCTTCGGCAGCCCTGATTCCAGCCATGCTTGGAGCCAGAGTCATCCTTAGACATCCCAGAGTCACCAGTGGATAAATCCCCTCCTGTCTCCCTCCTCCGTTTTTTGGTTAAGCCATTTTTTTTTTTTTTATGAGACAGAGTCTCACTTTGTTGCCCAAACTAGATTGAGTGCCATGGCGTCAGCCTCGCTCACAGCAACTTCAAACTCCTGGGCTCAAGCGATCCTCCTGCCTCAGCCTCCCGAGTAGCTGGGACTACAGGCATGCGCCACCATGCCCGGCTAATTTTTTCTATATGTATTAGTTGGCCAATTAATTTCTTTCTATTTATAGTAGAGACGGGGTCTCGCTCTTGCTCAGGCTGGTTTCGAACTCCTGACCTCAAGCAATCTGCCCGCCTCAGCCTCCCAGAGTGCTGGGATTACAGGCGTGAGCCACCGCACCTGGCCTGGTTAAGCCATTTTGGATTGGGATACTACTGCCCCTGTCACCACATGGGTCCCGATAAGCATTCTCCCTCACGGTACATTCGAGTGCCCGTTTCCCCTCATCAACGACAGCAATGGGTGTTTAGTCTTTGCCAGTTTTCAAGGTGAAGAACGGCGCCTTGTTTCAACTTCATGGATTTACCAGTGATGTTAAACGTTATTCATATTCTTACCGGCCACTTGCATTTCTCTTTTGCGAGCTGAATTTGGCTTACTTTTAGAAATGGGACACTTTTTCCAGGCTGAAGTTGGGTTTGCCACAAGGATACATTTCCCCAAGTGTTTTCTTGGGTGCCGAAATGGTTTTTGCTGTTGATTAAAATATCCCTCCAGGCGGAGGGTGTTGTTACCTTAATGTAGTCGATGTTTCCTGTTGAGATGAGCACAGAATGACATGCCACCTTCCCCAAGCAGCCTCAGTGAATGTTATTTTGGGTTACAGAGCTACAGGAAGAAAAGGCAGAGGGGGAGACAGCTGTCACAGCATCTCCAGAAAGTGGCATCAAATTTCACAATTTCACGGAAACTGCTCTTTGGAGCATGACACCTTCCCAGGAGAAACCCGATGCTTGAAAGAGAATTTGCTCATTAAAAAAACCCTGACTATATGACTCCAACTAATTTCCAGGAGAAGGGAACAGTACAGAAAGGGGAGAAATTTTAAGAAGCTATTCGCTGTCACTTAAAGATCTGAGACTCTAACTTGGTAATCTTTGGGCGGTTAGTCTCTAACTCTTGGGGGAGGCAAGGGAGTGGATCTGTTTAAATCCTTGTCCCTAAAATCGTGATTTGTGGCCGAATAGCACCAGCCTTACCCGGGTGGGGGGGTGGGCTTTGTAGAAATGCAGAATTTCAGCCTGTCCCCAGGACCTGCTCAATCAAAACTTTGTCCATGCACTTTGGAACATCAAAAACCTGACTTCCAATTCTGTTTGCACCACCTGGTTTGGGGATCATGGGCAAAATATTTAAGCTTCTCTGAGTCTCAGGTACCTTGTTTGTAATAATGACAGTAACCAACTCATTGGGTTGTTGTGAAGATTAAACGAACTGGCCTATGAGATTAGGAGAAAGGTTAGGGTGCTGTAACAAAGAGCACCCCCCCCCCCAGTTGCAGTGGCTCGTGGAGGACAAATGATTACTTCTCTTTCACATAGTAGTTGGCCACGAGCCGTCGAGGTTGGCAGGGCACAGCTGTCCCACACACAGTCATCACTGTCTCTTGTCATCTGAGGCCAGACTGTCTTCGTCTGGTAGGCTGAGACTGGGTCACAGTGACATCTACACTCTGGTTCTTGGGCACGCAGCTCGTCACTTTGGTGTACATTTCATTGGCAAGACCATACTCATCTGGCTGGGGAGATGTAGTCTCCCACTGGGCACCCCTGTGCCCACTCTGAAAGTCCACACTGCTTCTCAGTCAGGTGCTGTGACAGAG